ATGCACAAGTAATTGCAAATTTAGATATAACTCATGACGTCTATTTTGTGGAGTTATAAGACATGCTTTTGATAAAAATAGTAACATATAAAAATTAGAATATTTCAATACTAACCCTTTATTACATGTTACATATATGTTTATGTAATATATTTAATCATATGTCTAAAATATCATGTTTAAATTTATTATTTCTTAGATAAAATAAAAAATATTTAATTTGAATAAAATTTATCTTTAATTTTGTTTTTGACATTTGCCATGTTGATACATTAATTTTATATGTCATATCTGGACTTTTAAAGTTTTTCATAAAGTTTCATAATTCATGTAATAAAGGATTAATATAATCTATACGATTTGAAGACGGAAAGCAAATTTTCTAATACAACGCGTTACATATAATTCATAACTTAGTTTGAGGCTGTATTTCTATCTTGTAATTAAAATATAAAGTTTTTTCAAATTCTAATTTTAACATAAACTAAATTCATAGCTACGAATTTTTTATGAGGTCAAAAATATTATAATCCAATAAAACAAATGTTAAAATAATGTGCAAGGTTTGCACACTTAATCTTCGCGTATCCCTTAAAGATTATTCTATCATACATAGGTATACATGTTCTAAGCGTGATAAATATATATATATATCATTTGTTCGTGTTAAATTTCAATTATCTGCAAGATGAAAGTAATTTATATGATTTACACGAAAGTAAATTATATCATAAATTATTACAGTAATACATTTTGGAAGTACGTTTATTATTATGATTATAGATTAATTATTCTGATAATTAATATAGACTGCACAACATGTCTACTTAACACATCACATGTTGTGACTAAATATATTAAAAACATCAAACTAAATTGATAAGAAACAAAATAAATTTGGAAATTAAATAATTTCCTTATATTAATTCATAAAAGTATATATCTTTATAAATATCTGCAGTCAAATCATGATATATAACAAAATTGCAGAATAATCAATTACAACATTTGCTTTAAATGTATGTTACCAATAAATAAACGTATAATATAATATAACAGATTTTTCAGAGATGTAAAGTAAATATGAAAACTTGAAAGGAATTAATACGAATTAAAAACTTGTAATATATTGATTATGATATTATTATAATATGTGCGGCAGTAATATGATAATATACCACGATGAAAGATTTATGTGTTTAATATTTTTATCGCGTTATGTTGTACTTTCCATTATAGGATTAAAATGTTTGATTCATTAGCGCGATATCATTAGTAAATAATTTAAAGCAAATTCAAAGTACATACTAATGAAAGAATATATTGTTATCAAATGTATATGCTGTTGAGTATTTGGAAAAAGTTGTAAACATTTTAAATTAGTCACTCGTCATAACAAACTTAAAACACAATTGTTTAGAAAGCATTAGATCATTAAAAAACAATTTTACTGTAATATGTAAACTTTTAAACTTATAACAAAATTCTGGGTCCTTGATAAGAGATCATGTTATTAATAATGGTAAGTAATGAACCATGTTTGTAAAATATTTTGTAGAAGTAATGTAAGCAAGTTTTGTGGAAATGCGTCGGCAGAAAAGTATCTAATTATTACACTACAAGGCGCATTGAGGCTTAGTACAATTGTTCTAAATGGATGACTAGAGCACACATTTCGACTGTCGGTCATTTATTTCGTGCTAAGTTGTATAATTATTCACCCCTCAAAGGTATATTTCCTGTTGAGCATTATAAACTGCAGTGAAAGACAAACAGTTCCTTCTAAATTATATGATATGCAAGATAATATAAGATAAAAAACAAATCTTTGGTTCTCAAATAATTAAATAATTCTAGATACCGTACCGTAACGATTAACACTGGTTTACTTAATAGTATAAAGAATTACTAAGAAAAAATATAGTAACTCAATACACATACTAGTTTGGTCTAAAAAAGTGTTGTAAATAAACACCTTAACGACGGGACTGTTATGCTGAAAATTTATATTTTCTATTGAATATATCAATCATTTACTTTTTGTTCATAAAAAATGTTTGAAATTATTTTTAATTTATTGAGCACCTTTTTTTTATTTCCAATAAAAAATTTAATTTATATTTCATATTTTATATTAAGATTCACTTGTCGCAATACTGAGTCATCCATTGTTAAGGTGTTAAATTATATAAGCCATTTTATAATAAAAATTATTATGCCGAAAAAGAAACATCATTTTGATGTGGATTTAATTGATTTCTGTAACGTCTTGTCAAGAAAGCTGCAATCACCTGAAATGATAATTATATACTATTGACATTCCTCAATAATATTGACATTTTATATTGATAATGAATTTACTATTTTGAAATATGTTAAGACTAGTGAATTATACATATAAAGAGATATAATCATGATATTAAAGCTGAAGACTATAATGATAATTTATTCTACATAGAATAATTCGTAAAGTAACTATTATAATCTGGATATTGTTTATACATGGTTAGTAATATTAATACTATTTACGATAATATTACAATGTAGTATATACATTCACTTTAGAATGTAACCTAAAACACATCTTACGAATACAATGTTTCTTTAATAATTAAAAAAAAGGGTAATAGTTCTTGTGTATTTATTAGTCTTGTAATAGTAATATTATTTATTACTTTAATTAAAAAATGTTCTCAATTTATTACAGTACATATTTAAAAAGATTAATGAAAATCAAAATGTAATGTCTCTGTATAAAATTTTAAATATAAACTCTTACAAGTCAGAATCATTTTAACTTGATACATCTAATTAAAAATAATCCACAAGTAAGGAAGATTGAAATTAGATGCATTATGTGTATGTGCTCATAAAATTGATCTAAATTTTTAACAATTCTTTGTATATAGATAAATTTAATAGGGTAAGAATTTTAGTACCTGTGAGATACTGAATTATATGGTTACGTCTAATGTCATCTCACAGGTATTATTCAAGTGCAAAAGCTTTAATGACGTTACGTTGTACATAAACTATGTAAATGATATAAATAATATGCTTCTATATATTGATTGTACATAAAATATGTAAATGATATAAATAATATGCCTTTATATATTGATATGATATTTAAAGATCACAAATGAAACCACCCACCATCTATTAGGACGATCATATGAGGTGACAGAGGACATAGCGATGGTGTTAGACTAGAGAAAAGCACTAGGATTAGCTCTTGGATCTTTCTGGTTCCTGTATCGCACGGTCAACCATACACCAATAAACTGCAATGGGTAGACAAGTTAATATCGACATCATAACATTTCTTATTTTAACAAAAAGAAACACTTCACAAATGTAATGTACTGTTTAAGCATTATATAAAATTTGCACACTATATTTTATAAATGAAAATTGTCTACTAATAGAAAAGTTATCTTGTACAAAACATTATTATTCATAGAATGTTACCTCTGTAAAACTAAAGAACAATCCTATGCTTCCACATAATTTAAATGCGTAATCAATCGTAGATTGTAACTTCAGCATACATGATGGGCACATACAATCAGTGTCGGAAGGATAAGGGCAACAAATTTTCTGAGAAAATGGAAAGATATTGTAATAAATTATTTTATGTTCGCACAACATACATATTTATTTAATTTATATATACTTACATTAACTTTGTTGCAAGACAGTGGATGATTATCTTCTGAAATTATGTTAGTATTATTAAAGCTACAACAAGTAAAAGTAGTCTGAACCTTTGCTTTTAAATCGTCTCCAACACGCCTCCAACCCTAAAAGTAATATCAATCGCAGTTGCTTTCGTAGATACAAATTTCTATCCATATAAAATATTAAGATTACCTGTTCTGCTAACTGTTCTTGTTGTTTGGTATTAACAGCAAGACAAGCACAAGCAATACTAAACTGAATCAAGAACAGCAAAAATAGAATAAACATATACTATACAAATATTATTAAGGATTAGATAAAACATTTTTTTGGAGTTCAAATATATTTTTGAAGTAATGGAAATATTCTTTTCATTATTGACTATATTTAAGATGAATTAGATATATCTTTTTAAATGAGCGCTGTAAATAGCATTATATATCAATATTCAAAAGGATACAAAGAATAATAAAACTTGGTGATGTTTAACAGCACCAATGAGTCCAAGTATTGAAATTAGAATCAGAATCACCCCACATGCTAAAATACCTCCAATTATGGGGAGATTTGTAACTAATGCAGATGCTCTTCCATAAACAGCAACACCAATGAGAATAAATGCAACCACCTATAATATCAATGATTTAAAAGTAATTTATTAGCAACTTCTATCCTCGAAAATATACTAAAAAAAATTAATAATTTTTATAAATTTATATTTTTCTCATATACGTAATATTACTGATAGATAAATTACAAAACATGTTTCAAATCAATAATCTTGGAAAAAATCATTTATATTAATTGATAAATTAGTGATAAAATATTTCAAATAATGACGAAAAAAATGTTCACGTAATGACAAGTACAAAGAAAGTAGTTCTTAATCACAGAAAATAAAAAAACCAAGATATTTTTCGATTTATCTCATGTGTATAACAAACTCTTATAGAATATATGAGATATTACAGTAATATATGATTAAAGTCACACAGGTATTTTGTTAATTTCATATAGTACAGACAAGTATATGCTCAGAAATACTGCTTACGATATAAAGGATATTTAGTGCCGTCAATGCATTTTTGGAACAGGTGAAGCCACCACACATCTTTGTATATGAGCTTTGTTCTCTTCGACGTATTCACCAACAAGAGTTCGTCAATTCGTTGACTTATGGTATTCGGAGAATTCGCACACTTTATTATTAATACTTCGAATGAACAAGGAAGATGCATACGCGTTAAACTAGTCAACCCTGATGGCAGACAGTTTACGACTGCTCGCACTGCAACACTTCGATTGCATTCGATTTCGATTTCTCGAGATTTTGTTCCACCCGCGCAAAATAAATATTGTACTTATAATTTCACCTCGTACATGTTCGTACATTTATGACACAAAGCTTTCATAATTGTAATTACTTAAATTTGTAAACGTGTAATTTGAATATCAATATATAAATATATTTGCTTGTAATTTAGAAAGAAAATATGTGTTTCATTTTGTAACAACAATTGTTACAGAGACTGAAGTTATAATTTCTGGTTAGCCATAATTTTTTAAAAGATTAAACAAATTTGTAGTGCTGTATAATATTATAATTTTTATTTAAAGTAATTCATTTCTAATAATTATTATTCTAGTCTTGACAATAGTAAATAATTCTTATAAATAATATTTCAAATTGAAGTTGCACTTAAGTCAATTCTACGACATTAATACTAATATGATAATTGAATTTGTCAATTCTTAAACTCTAACAAGACTCAGCACAGAATGTTCTTTGTTCTTCCAAAACATGTTTAGAGATTGCTGCGAAATAAATCTTGGCGTCATAAATGTTTCACGATAACAGGAGCCAAGATTACTTTTTTTTGATGCAAAGTGCAAATTAAGCGTACGAGATAAGAAGTAGGTTTGTGTTTCCCGCATTAAGTGTACAATTTCTGATTCTTCATAAATTTGTTTCTTATCCTTATCGCAAATCATGAATAACACGATATCTCCATCTGTCGCTTAATTTGTATAAAAAAAGATCAATACTTTGTATAAAAAAATAGGATACTTTTGTCCGGACATAATTGTAGGCATATGTATATTTCTTTTAATTGGATAATTGTCTTCAATTATAAATATACATTCAAATTGTATTTGGTATTCACTGAATACAAAAATGAAGTAAAAAAGTAAATACTCTTCCTTTCGTCCTTTTGCTTCTTACGATCATTTCACTGTGATAAAATTTTAACTGTTTCTTCTACGAACAAGGAGGTGGGGATCACATGAAATTTGATGACGATAACAAGCCTGCTGATAAACTGACATATAAAATCTAGTACGTCGTGATTAAACTTCCATTGTAGTTATAATGTGTTAAAGGGGAGGCACGAAGAACGCCAACGCGTTGCTGTTGTACTTTTTGGTGGCATCGTCACGTTCCATCGCTATCTCTGTAAGCATTGCATTAACAAGAATTATACGGTGTTAATCGTAGTTTCGTGTAAATTTTCCATAGTTCGTAGTTGCTCTGATTTTACTGTCACGGGCTGAATTCTATAATATATTATACAAACACATATAACTGTTTAGCTTCTTTATAAAATGTAATGTCTTCGATTCAAATATAAGATGCCAAATATGAACTTTCCGTTTTTGTTTCAATATTTTATGAGTTATAGTTTGCTATAAGATTCTTATTAACAGTAACATTATTTAGTACTTAAATTTAGTTCAGTAAAGAATTTTTAATCTATTTCAGTCCAATAAAAGAAGAAATAAGAAATATGGATGAATCGCGCATTAAGTGGTGGCCGCAATATTTAGCAGCGATTACAGGTGATTTCAAAATCTTATTTCTTGCAACAATTATTAACAATTCAATTACTCATTGTCGATCGCAATAAAAACGTTCTGATAATAAGTTTGATTCTCCTAAATATGATCAATTAGATAAATTATATCTACAGTTCTATAATCCTTGATAAAAAAATTAGGACCACCCTTAGTATTCAATATTTTTTCGCAAGCTTCGTGTATATATATATAATTTCGTGTGTACATATATGTACTTTTAATTATATATAATGTTTCACACATTATTGCGAGTTTATTGTTCGAGTGACAGAATTTCTCTGTATAAATATTTATGTAGACTAAAATATCAGTAACAAGACATATGTACTCAACCAAATTAAAGCCGTTCAGACGTGCGTGAATCGTCGGAGAGTTAAAACTGAAAGTTAAACAAAGATATTAAGCCTGAGTTGTACAAAATTAATCTGAGAAAGAGTTCAGACAAATCAGATAAGCAAAAGATTTTCACTTCTGATCTTCTCAAAGATGACATCCAATTCCATCGACAAGTCGGGAAAAATGTCGACGTTTCAACTTAAACAGTGCAACAAATAATTAATGTAAAATAAAAAAAATTAAATTAATTCTCCAAAGGAAAAAGTCACCCTAATTTTTTTTATCAAGGAGTATTTTTGTCTGGTTTTCGACGTTTCATTAAAAAAGATCACAATAAAATAAGAATGCACACACACATTACAACAAATTGCAATAGATATTTCTAAAATTTTATGACACACTTCTTCAAGTAAGAAAATAAATACTTATTCAGTTAGATAGTAAATAAATGAAATAGCACAAATATTAAGAACGAACAGTCGGTAGGAAAATATTTTGCAATATAGTACAAATAATACATAATTGTTTATTCTAACGATAAATATGTAAAGTATATATTATTTAAAAAATGTTTAATAACTGCAAGAAAATAATTATTATTATTGTAACAAAATGTTCCCGGAAAGTGGTTATTATTTGTAAACAGAATGCTATATTTACTTATATTTAATTGATGTAAGTGTAAAATTGTTGAGATTTGTTCTATCAGGTATTCGTATTTAACTAAAATGAAATATATGTTGAATACGAACATACGAACACGTGTATTAATTTAATTTGCTATCTTCTTATTTATATTTCCCGGGAACTTCCTGAACATTCTACGTATATTTGGTTTTATGATCTTTATCATTTTTCATGCCTGTTATACCACATGTTTTTGTCTGCTATTAAATATACTATTAAATCTTATAAAGATATTTCGCCTGATATTATATCAGATTTCGAACAATAATTAAAGTAAGATTAGAATACCTCTTAAGGAATGAAGTACGTACTCAGAAAATTCAATTATAAAAATGACTAAGGTTGAATTTTGATAATGAAATTTCAAGATAGATATAAATAACTTTCTTTTCATAAGTTTTCGAATGTAATCGCATTATGTTATTATTAACTAGTAATGATAAGATTATTCATGAATTGCAATAAATTGCAATTGATTTTTTCAAAATTTCAATTTTTCAGTTTTCAAAGTTGTAATTATGCAAGGACCATTTGTGATTCATATAATAGAAACTTCTGATAAAGGAAATTGTTTTTTGTTATGGTAAACAAGTTTGATGATATTAGCCTGATAAAGACTATATTTGTCACAGTCATAATCAAGTGTCTACGATGATTTTAGTCATGTCGGCGATAATGTAATTGAAGTGTCAGCAAATTGTATCAATAACTTTATTGCCATATACTTTTAAGTACTGTAACTTAAATTTTTTAACACTTACTTCATTTTTTAAAAGTTGTGTATCATAACTTTCAAATATAATTTGAAAATCGATTTATCATTTACTTAGTAAACGTTCCTTATTAGTATACATCTTTTTTGCTAATGAAATAGAAAATTACTCTAAGCATATTATAGTCAATGCTAGACTTAATATTTTCTAAAATTTTAAGATTATCTTCTACATGTTTGTTTATTACAAACATAAAATACATTTTTATTTAAATTAGAGTATATTACGTTTATTAATATACTACAATAATAGAATATTTTGAAAGGAATTTCTTCTTTTAAGAGATAAAAATTAAATCTACTTAAGATCTTAACTGTAGATCTATGTTCAGTAATTAATACATTTTACACTTTGAATTTAAATTAACTTAGAAACATTTCCATGTTCGATTACTTTTTTCCAAATTTAGCCACCTTATCTATGGCAGCATCGGGTTCTCACATAGGCTGGACATCACCAACGCTTCCGAACCTAAAGTCACCAGATTCTCACATTTTCCTTACTTCGGATGATGCATCGTGGATCGCCTCGTTTGTTCTACTTGGCTCGATACCTGGCAACATTTGTTCAGCTTTCATAGTAGATTGGCTCGGTCGAAAAATCTGCCTTTTGATAGCGGGAGTACCACTTCTAGTTAGTTGGATTCTGATCATCTTAGCTTGGAGACCTTACGTCTTATATATCGCGCGGTTCATCGCTGGATTCGGTCTTGGCGTAGCATACGTTGTTTGCCCCATGTATATCGGCGAGATCGCTGACAAGGAAATCCGAGGATCCTTGGGATCGTTCATTAAACTAATGGTAACTTTTGGTGAGCTATACGCCCACGCAGTTGGTCCCTTCGTTTCTTACAACTGTTTGATTTACAGTTGCGCTATAATCCCTGTAATCTTTTTCCTATCATTTACCTGGATGCCCGAGTCCCCGTATTATTTGTTAATGAAAAATCGCGAGGATAAAGCGATGAAAAGTTTGAAATCACTGAAAAGATATGCTACGCAAGACCAATTGGAAGAAGACATGGAGCAAATGCAGAAAACTGTGATCCGCGATCTTACCGATAAAGGACACTGCTGGGACCTCTTCAACACTCCTGGCAATAGGAAAGCTGTGCTAATCAGTTTTGGTCTCCAGATGGTACTCCAGTTTAGCGGTTTAGCTGCGATAGAATCGTACACGCAAGAGATTCTCGAAGAAGCTGATACAGATTTGTCCGCTGGTATAGCAGTGATCATTTTAAGCGTTTTACAGCTTATCGCTGGAGTGGCAGCTGCAGCTTTAGTAGACAATCTAGGCCGGAGACCTTTGCTTCTGGTTACAACTTTGCTCGGTGGTTTGTCTTTAGCCGTAACTGGAGCATTTTATTTTTTAAAGCTTCAGATGTCCGTGGACACATCTAACGCTGGCTGGATTCTTCATGCCTCTGTAATATTTTATGAGCTCATTGTCGCGTTAGGTTTGAATCCATTGTCCTACATGATGCTTGGAGAACTGTTCCCAACTAACGTGAAAGGGGCCGCTGTTTCTTTGGCAAACGTATGGGCATCTCTGTTGGCGTTTTTCGTCTCGAAAATGTATCAAGTGATCTCCGACTCTTGCGGGGTCTACACGTCGTTTGGTTGGTTTGCTGTTAGTTGTTTTGTTGGGATTGTTTTTATCTTCTTTATGGTGCCAGAAACCAAAGGAAAATCGTTATTAGAAATACAAGAGGATCTAAATTGTAAGAAGAAAAAACAACCAAAAGGGGGAACAAAAAAGCATGAAATCTCTGTAAGTACTCTTGCTTAGATTTGAGAAAAATTATATTTTCCGAATGAGAGAGAAGTCTGGTCTGGTCTGGATTTTGAAGTATGAATTAAGAGATAACGAAATATGATACGACAAAATATTCTATATTCAAGAAACGGAATTTTTTAACATTAATGAGTGGTAATGGTGTTTAAATTCTTATTATTTATCTGTAAAAATAAATTCGATTGTTAAAGATAGAATGATTTGATGCAATAACAAACAAAAATAACAAAAATCATTCTTGCTGTTCTGTGACATGAGAAAAGTTGCACAATGTAGCGTGCTAACGAAATTTGTCGAATTCTTTTATTTTATTCATGTCGCAGAACGTAGTTATCAAAAGTGACAGACGACCATCTTCTTGAATTCAAAGGATAGCCGATTTTAAACAATCGCTTTTACGCAATCTATGTACGTGTTTATATACTTAATATTTTTCAACTTTAATTAATTTTAAATATGTTCACCCTTTAAGCTTGTTTTTCTTCTAGCTTAGAGTCTAAGATATTCTACTTTTTAAACGAGGGCCCGTATCTCATTTAAAAAAAAAACTTGCTTCGGTTAAGATGACAAAATTATATGTAAACATTCATGAGTGTGACATGTAATGATGAGTTTCAAGAAATTTCTGAAAGGAAAACTAAACAGTAAATTTATAACGGTACGGCGAGCGCTTCGTGCGTCATACTAAAAACACCAGAGAAAAATATGGCTCGGTGCAAACACTACGTGAGCCATAGTTTGTATACTTTCTTTACGACATTAACACCTGCAACCGATACACGAATTCGTATGTTCAATAATACGCATACGGTGTGACGCGTCTGCGTTTCTCGAATAAGTTGCCGGAGAAACGTAACAAGATGCGCATTGATGTTGTTAGTAATAACCGAAGCAATTTTAACCGAGAATAGTGCGATTTTGTCTGTGTTTTCTTGAAATTAATCCGAGGACGGAGAAATTTTCAGAAATCATGCGATAGTATGTGTGCGCTAGTCAGGATTTCTACAGGAAAGAGCAAACTCGCATGACCATCTTCTTTCCCTTTCAGGCAGGGTTAAACGTTGAGACTGATAGATATTAAATTAATCGTAAGTTATATATTTATTTACTGCCAAATGACGTTACATGGTACCAAGAATAGTACTGAATTAACGTAATAGAAGGAAAATTCATGAATCTGTAACTCGTGGGAACGAAACAAAATTATTCAATCCGTGGATTACCATAAGATTAATACTTGAAGATGGTACATTATTAACCCTTCGCACTCGAAGCTTTTTCTCACTAATATTACCAGCAACTCGGAGCAGTTTTAATAGAAAGAGAATATTAACACTAAAACTACCCAGCAATTAGAGTGATTTATTTTACTTTTGTACAAAAATTCGAACAATACCCATTATACCTTGAAATTCGAAGGGTCTCCTAGTTTTGTATCTGTACTGATACACAAATTTAATTGAAAATCTTTCGCAAAAACGCCTTCACAATTTAAATACTTGCCAAATAAAAATTCTCAAGTGGATCAATTTGTCCGGCAGTTTTAGTGTTAATGTATAAATAAATGATACGTGCATGAAAAGGAAATTCATAAATGTATTTTACTGTCTTTCATCGATTACAGATATAAATGTCATAATATATTTAATAACAAAATTTTACAGTTTGTAGTGACAAATTTTAAATGCCTCTGCTCCGGAGCCCTCTCGAGTTCAAAGGGTTAAATTCCAGAAACAATAAGTTGACGTGACAGAAACATTTGTCAAAAGTAAGTGAATGTGACATAAAACAACAAAGGGTGGTACACGGATTAAATATCAAAGTTCTTAGTGGATACATGCTCCCCGTGTAACTAGTTTGGCGATTAGGAACATCTATTATCCCTTTGAGGCAGGGTGCAAGAGACAGAATTTTAATAACGCGATTACGATTAAACGTTAGCAAAGCGCGCCGTGCATTATCGCGAGTGTGCAAAGTTGTGCGCACTAATGGCCCTGTTGCAAAAAGGATTACGGTGAGCACCGTAGCATGATTAACCGTATGCATATATACATTTCTAACGTGGTGAAACATATTATTACACAAATAGGTGCAATTATAACGAAGTACACCATTATCATTGTTATTATCACAAATATTAGAAATGTTTTGAAAACGAAGCTTTTCATCGATTACTTTAAAACGTTTTGCATATCGTGCTACGGACTATTACTGATATAGAACTACTAAGGATGTAATGACATTTAGTTTGAGTTACATTGGAATGAGCCGATTTGAATATCTCCTTTGTACAAGAACTGATGTTTTTTT